TCCTACAACATATAAAATAAATTTTGTCTATTTCCTTATATGTTACATTATAATAGGAGTTGTATACGGTTTCCTATTAAAGCTCTAAAATATATAACAATTGGTATTATTTCACATGTTCCTATATTTTATTTATTTTAAATAAACATAATAAACTGTAGGCACTAATACCTGCAGTTTTTCAACTTTCTTAAGTTTCGATGAAAAAAATTTGTCTTGTTTTCTAATAAATGAACAAGGAATAAAAATATCTTATTGTTGTTAAAACTTAAAGTTAAATGCGAATTATGTACCTACTTTAAAGTTAAAACTTTGAACTAATAAATGGTTAAAAATATAATAACTGTAAAAGTCGTTAAATATAAAATCAAGTTTGTTCAAATTGCTAAATAACTTCTGATGATTCACAAAGTCTAACGATATGAGTTTAAGACTAGAATATGCTCGTTATAATAAATTARCATAATATCTATTATAATAATGGTGACACAATTTATGAATATTTTTTGTAACTATATTGGTTCAATTTAGTTTTTTGAAACTTCTATAATATAATATACTTAAATAATWGGTATATTACAAAAGTCTGTTCTTTTAGGTTTTCTTGATAATAGTAATGTCATCATGACGTACTCGCGTTGTACCGACATGACAAGGTCTAAATTGCGTAGGTAAAACAATTTTTTTAACTTCATATCTTGCAAAAATTAGTTTTGGTGAACTCCAGTTTTCAAAGTTTTTTTTTCTACTTAATTACATTGCTTTATAAAATTCACGTACGATATTGTACTGCAGTGGTCACATATAGTATAAAACATACGCATATATATATATTATATGAGTGTGTACTGTGTATAACTTTTTTCGTGAACGTTATATACGTCATGCATACTTGTAAAATAATATCATAGAAACGAAAAAATGTTCTTGTTCGCGAGAAAGAATGTGATAACGTTATTTTAGATTCTGAGCGGAGCGATGAATGTATTGATTTTACCATGATGTGTGTGTTATTTTTTTTGTGTCTCTCATCACGTCTTGGGGCAGTAAAAGTGCTTCGGTTTTTGACTTCAGTACCACGTTCGATCAGAAAGTGAATCTAGTTGGCACTTCGAGGGATCAAAAATAATAAATTCTTAATACTTTTCTAAATAATTGAGAAAAACAAACTAAAAATTAAGGGAAAACGGGAAATTTTACGCACACTCATTTTYGGACAAAATCGATTTTGGTTTTTAATGTAATTTTAAAACAAATGACCATAGATACATGAAATTTT